TGACGGTTGAAGAACCTCCGAAGGAGGCGGAGGAGCAGCCAGAGCCAAGAAAAGCCCATCTGAAGAAGAAACCTGGCCGAGCCTTCTGTCATTCTCTCTCCAAGCTCTATGTGCAGGACTCAGGTAGCCATGGAAACATTAACAAACAACACCATGTGCCCGACAATTCAACCAAATTACTCTTACTTAGAGCAATATCGATAATTTGACAGAGGATCCTTCCCAGTTTTCCCACTTTGGCTTTAATAGATGATGATAACTAAAATCTTATTTCAAATTCTTCTTCATCATGCCTGGAACATATACTCACACCCACTTTATTAGGTACACATCTTTAAATGATTTATTAAAACCAGCAACTCATCAACCTGCTGAAATTCAAACCGAACATCAAAATAAGGAAGAAAAGTGATTTAAGAGACTCTGAATGTAGCACGTCTGCTAGTGTCAGACAGGCTTGTCTACTGGGATTTCCCCACACAACCACCTCTGGAGTTTACAAAGGATGGTCTCAAAAAGAGAAAATAACCAATGCGCAGGCGTTCTCTAAGTGAAGATATTTTCAGAGGTCAGAGGAAATTTGCCAGACTGTTTCGTAGCTGAGCCATTTTCATAAAAAACTTAGTTGAACATCATTACACAACAGGAATAATAAATCCCCCTCAATAGAAAGGTTGTCTGGTAAAAACTCGCTTTAATGAAAGCAATTCAATTACTGTTAACTGGGAGAAAAATATGGAAAATTATTCATAGAATAATCCTGTTGTACACAGCATGAATACATATTAAGCATTACTAGGTCTTTCATTTCCCAAGTCTACTGATAGTCAGCCACTTAATTACGAAGTGGCAGCCACTTTAGATTCATCTAACATTTCTGCTGTTCCAACTTGACCTCACAGGCGAGCAGATAATGCGGAGAGCTGCTGAAAGCAGAACCACAGTGGAGCTCAGTGAGTGCTGTGGAGATGAGTGCTACTGGGAGGAGATCAAGGGTGACGGCTGTAAGTACTACAGGAACGTCTTCACCCACGGATACCTCGGTGAGTACACAAAACCCACCTCAACTGAACAAATGCAGCCATGTGAAAAATGTGGTCTTTATTCAAATGGAGCATAATAAACTTTCCATGTCTGTACAAAACCAATTCTGCTGAAACAATACAAGTTTTTTCTTTCTTGGTTAAAACTTCCAAATACATTTCCTTTGAAGGGTTTGACTTGAGCAGGGAGCAGGTCCACTCTGAAGTCTGTCCTTCTGAAGGTGAAGAGTGGCTTCTGTTGGTGGACGAGTCGGATCAGAGCTATCAGAGAGCCGTTATCATCAAGAACAAACACTCGGGGAGGTTCCTGGCAGTCCGTAACGGCTGCTTTATCAGACTAACATCATACAACGAGGACTGCAAAAGGTTTTTAGAATAAAGAGGGATGCTTCTGTGAAAGCTGAGAGTTTGCCTGACAGAAAAAGCACGAGCAAACAAAAGTTGGTGGAAATAAAATTCACTGCTGTTACTGTGGCAAGAAAAACAAATAAGAAATCTCTAGAATCTTTTTCTCTTGAGGATTTCTGGTTTCCAGTTGACTGGGTGGCTTTCTTCTGTCTGCAGGAAAGAAAACATGGTTATTATTTATTTTATTTCCTGCTGCATAAGAATCGGCACAGAAATACAAGTTGAGTGTAACAGTGTAGCGTACAGCGGTGTCATCCTCCTTGTAAACT